AGTCCACCCATCTAGAATGAGTTTTTCATTTTACAGACAAGGACCAGAGACCACAAAAAGCTTCAGGGACTTGCCCAGAGAAGATGACTGAGTTCGAACTCAGCTCTCCAGAATGCCAGCCTAGGGCCATCTGCCCATCACATCAGGAGGTCTCCACTGTGGGTCATGGCCCACAGGATGGCAGAGAAGTTAGCTGGGTTGCCTGGTAGCCTGAGCCAGAACTGACTCATAGTGATGGGAAGTTAGGGCACTTACAACCAAGGAAATAGAAGACAGACTCAAGAAAGGAAACTGGGGCTCAGCGCCTATAGCTCAACCGGCTAAGGCGCCAGCCACGTACACCTAAGGTGGCGGGTTCGAATCCCCAGCCCGGACCCGCCAAACAACAATGACAGCTGCAACCAAAAAATAGCCGGGCGTTGTGGCGGGCGCCTGTGGTCCCAGCTACTTGGGAGGCGGAGGCAAGAGACTCGCTTGAGCCCAGGAGTTAGAGGTTGCTGTGAGCTGTAATGCCATGGCACTCTACCCAGGGGGACAGCTTGAGGCTCTGTCTCAAAAAAAAAAAAAAAAAAAAAAGAAAGGAAACTGGGATCACTTAGCAACATCCCCTCCATAGATTCCTCTTTGGAAGGTAGACACTAATGCTGTCCGTTAGCAGCAGGCACTCACTGAACTCCTATGAGCAGTTCCTAAAATCTCTACTCACTGGAGATTAACTACTTGTTAGAAATTAAGACTCATTGTCAGCTCAATCTCGAAGAGAATATTGAGGTCCTCAAAGTGATGTTTTGGGACTTGGGTCAGGGGATGGGTACCCCACCCAGAACAGTTTTTTTTTTTGAGACAGAGCCTCAAGCTGTCCCCCTGGGTAGAGTGCTGCAGCGTCACAGCTCACAGCGACCTTCCACTCCTGGGCTCAAGCGATTCTCCTGCCTCCACCTCCCAAGTAGCTGGGGCTATAGGCGCCCGCCACAACACCAGGCTATTTTTTGGTTGCAGCCGTCATTGTTGTTTGGTGGGCCCGGGCTGGATTCAAACCCACCAGCTCAGGTGTATGTGGCTGGCACCTTAGCTACTTGAGCCATAGGCGCCGAGCTCCACCCAGAACTTTTATTGCAAAGTTCAAGCCAGGCAACTTTGCTGTGCTTTCTATTTCATGGACTTAACAAGAGTTAAGCATCACGTTAATGAAGGAGATGAGAGATTGGCCCGAAGGACCCCTGCGTAGCTCCTACTGCAGCCTTAGTTGTTTAACAAGGAGCAGAGGAACCTATGTCACTGGGGAGTTCTCAGCAGTACATTTTATAAGTAGCTGCAGAAGAACCAGATTCTAAATTTATCTTTCTAGAAAGAGGCAAGAAGTGCTTTTGACTAATATTTATCTTCTCTGTTGTGTGCTAAGAGGCAGCCTTTTGTCACAGGGGAACCTGGTTGTAGAGCCTGAAGACTTGCCCCTGAAGCCAGGTTTCTCTGCTGACTGGCTGTGTGACTTGGGTCAAGGCTCTTTACCTCTTTGAACCTTGGTTTTCTCATCTGAAAAGTGGGAATAATATTACTGTCCTCATAAATGTTGTTGAGTCAGGCTTGGTGCCCGTAGCATAGTGGTTATGGCACCAACCACATGCACGGAGGCTGGCAGGTTTGAACCCAGCTTGGGCCAACTAAACAACAATGACAACTGCAATGGAAAAATAGCCAGGCATTGTGGTAGGTGCCTGTAGTCCCAGCTACTTGAGAGACAGAGGCAAGGGAATCGCTGAAGGCCAAGAGTTTGAGGTTGCTGTGAGCTGTGATGCCATGGCACTCTACTAAGGGCAACATAGTGAAACTCTATCTAAAAAAAAAAAAAAAAAGGTTGTTAATATTAATGGTTCCTCTCCATAGCTTTACAGCCTATTATTTTTGTTCTTTTGCAACATGTACTTTATTCTGCCTTGTATTTTTGGTAATAGTGTCCCAGTGTGTTTCTCTCACCAGATGATAACTTCAGTCCCCAAAGCCCAGAGTAGCACTTTGTATACAATGGGCATATCAGTCAAGGTCCAAGCAGGAGATAGAAACCATACAGTATCTTAAACAGGGGAAATGTATAATAATATGAGGAATTATTAATCTTCGATAGAGAGAACTATAAAGGGCACCCTAAGGCTCAGAGAGCATGCCTGAGGAAGGACAGACTTAGAAGGGCTCCCCCTCCATGGCTGAGGTTCAGATGTCATTGAAGAAGATGTGGATGTGGCCTGCAGGATGGCAGAGAAGTTTGCTGGGTTGCCTGAGCCAGAGCTGATTCATAGGGATGGGTAAACAGAAAGCCTTCTGGGGCACAGGCAAGATGAGGTCAGTGGATAGGTGTGCGGAGGGAGTAAGGGCACGTTACCGATGCAAGGCCTGCTTTGAGGCGGGTGGGGACAGTGAAGTGGTTACTGGACCCAGGCCAGGGCTGCAAGGTCATTGAACAACCCTGCACTCTAGGCAGGCAGCTGGGCCTGAGCACCACCAACAGTCCCCACGGACAGACTCAGCAGCGAGAGAGAGACCCAGACCTGGAAAATAAATGCCCTTCTTCCTGCCTTGTCCCTCCAATGCCCTCTGCTGACAATGCTTAGCCATGGAGCGCTCGCTGCAGAGAAGAAATGCTTACAGGGCCCAGGCCATTGTCACAGAGATAAAAGGATGAATTTGGAGCTGAGAGGCAATATTGGTAACTAGTACAATGAGGTGATCAATAATGTTTGAATTAAATTAGGTAAGAGCAGATATCTGGCTTGTCCGTGACCACCTTACCCCCTGCCTATTTCCCTTTCTTTGAATGCCAGACATTTCACCAGCAATAAATGTCAAACCTCTTTAACTTCTTCTGTAATTTACTCTCTAGAAGCTCATTTCCCTTTGGGCTATTGTGTTTGTCTTCTTAATGAAGCACGGGTGTCTCTTCTCCTGGCTCCCGCTTAAGAGAGACTCATGCAAAGAGAAGGGATTTCGTTTCACACCTTCTTTCTCCACTCAAACTTGATCTGGCTTCTCCACCTCTGTTTCATTTAGAGGCAATCCACTTTTCTCTCCCCAACATTTTAGGAGTGTCCCAAAGCACTTGACTTCAAGTGGCAGCAGCAGAAATCAGAGCTGATCCCCAAACCAATCTTTCTTGGCCTTTAAGGAAAATGCAGTAGCCAACTCAGGTCAGGATGGGGAGTTAATCTACTTGAACAAATCTAAAAATTCCAGTCCTCAAATATTTTAGAACACAATAGGCAATTGAGCAAACAGCAGACGTGGAGGATAATTATAAGCACAAATATGATTCGGGAAGTATTTGGAAAGGACTAATAGTTTCAACTTGAGAACCAAGAAGAGCATAACGCATAAGGAGCCCTTCAGATCATCCCTTCTGAGAGATCATGGAATATGTAGTAATAGGCACCGAATTTGAGTCAAGACAATGTTCTCAGGTATCACCTATTTTAAGGAAATAATTCATTCTCCTGGGAAGATTCAAATGCAATTATTATTAACTGTAGGAACTGGCTGAACAATGAGATGGGGCTAGAGTTAAGACTTCCTCCAAGAAAGAGGAGATTTTCTACTTTCAGATGGGTGATTATCCATTTAGACCAGAAAAATGGCAATGGGAAAAACTAGGGGACTTTAACGTTTCCACCAACATTTGTGTGTATATGTTGTGTCTGTCTTACATATTTTTTTGGCAAGAGATAGGCATTTTTGGCCAGTGTAACCTAGAGGAGGCTAGCAAGAAGCCATCTCAGTACTTGTTACCCCTACGTGTACCAAGGGAATCATGCTCTTAAATGATGGAGAAAAAACATGTGTTTATTCTTATATAATGGCATTGTGGTTTGTTTTCTTAGTTTTAATTTTAATTTAGTTATTTATTTATTCATTTATTTTTTGAAACAGTCTCACTATGTCCTCCTCGGTAGAGTGCTGTGGCATCACAGCTCATAGCACCCTCAAACTCTTGGGCTCAAGCAATTCTCTTGCCTCAGTCTCCCAAGTAGCTAGGACTACAGGTGCCCACCACAACTCCCGCCCAGCAATTTTTTTGGTTGCAGTTGTCATTGTTGTTTAGCCGGCCCGGGCTGGGCTTGAACCCACCAGCCTTGGTGTATGTGGCCAGCGCCCTACTCACTGAGATACAGGCGCCAAGCTTTTAATTTTTTTTTTAATTTTTTAATTAATTATTTATTTATTTTTGAGACAGGGTCTTACTCTGTCACCCCGGGTAGAATGCCGTTGCAGCACAGCTCACAGCAACCTCAAACTCTTGAGTTTGAGCAGTCTTCTTGCTCGGCCTCCCAAGTAACTGCAATTATAGGCGCCTACCACAAAGCCTGGTTAACTTTTCTATTTTTAGTAGAGACAGGGTCGGATCTTGCTAAGGCGATCTCAAATGCCTGAGCTCAAGCAGTCCACCCACCTCGCCCTCCCAGAGTGCTAGGATGACAGGCTCGAGCCACCGCGCCCGACTGTTTTCTTCTTTTAGCTTATCTTAATTTTCTGCAATGAGAGTGTATTATTTGTGAAATTAAATACATATACAAATTTTCGGCACACATTTAGGGGCTGTCTCATCACTTTCTGTCTCAAATCTAGCCATATCCCCTCCAGCCTCTTCTTCATTCTCCTATTCGGATTAACTGCCAAAAATCAGAAGAAGACTTTAGTTTTGGAAAGAGATCTTTTGGGAGAGATTCATTTCCTCAGTCTTGAGTTTCTAAAAGCGGCCCACTGTTTCTTCTACCCTCACCAAGCAGTGACTGATGCTACGCCTGCTGGGGTGTAACAAAACTTAAGGACCATGAATTAAAGCCTTTCCCGTTTCTTGCACATTCTGAGGCAGCAAAAGCCCTCGCCGGGGCCCTGCGTCCTGTGAAGATGTCCAAGGGGTGTTGTTCTGCCTTGGGCATGGTCGCGCCGGCCTGTGGGCACTTCGGAGGCTGTTACCTGGTATCACTAACCTTTGATATGTTGCTCTCCTTCAGATTTTTGACAATGAAGCCAAAGACCTGGAGAGAGAAGTTTGCTTTATTGATATTGCCTGTGATGAAATTCCAGAGCGCTACTACAAAGAATCTGAGGTAAGCAATAGATGGGGTGACTTGTGGAAGAGTTTCATTCATTCATTCATTCATTCAGCAAATATTTATTAAGCCCCTCCTAACCTAGGACACTTCCATCTGTCTTTGTGCCAATTCAGTTTGGTTTTATGTCTTGTTGGATTCTTTAATGGGAGTCATAAGATTTTAAGTCCTGACTCTTCAGGGTTCCCCATCGGCCCCAGCTGTGACTCAGTTTTGATTTTGTTCTCTGTCCCCTAAACTCTGCCATCTCTCTGGGCTACATAAATATCCATAAGGTTGAGCCATCAAACACACCCACCGCTCTAAAAAACAGCAGCCAGGCTCCCCAACTGTATGCTCTGGGAGGGCAGAAACTGTGTTTTATCTGTATCTTTGGAGTTTTGACTCCAAGAAAACTCAATCTATTCTCGAAACTTTGACAGCTCCTCCTAGCACTGAGCCTTTCTCTTAAAACAGTAAGCACCTTTGTGGAGGCTTCTCATTTTTTCTTGGCTGAGAGATGTCAGAGAATTTCTTTCTCCGTGGTTTTCACCCTGTTAGAATCCATCCTTTGCCTTCGGTCCACTTTCTTATTTTATGGTCCATTGCAAGTCACCATTTATATCCGTTTAGTCTTTTATTAACGGCTGCTGACAGAACTTGGGTGGCCCGCTTGTAAATAACATCCCAGGCCTGCAATGACAACAGATGCAGGGCTATTTTTGTTGTGTAGCAACACGCCACCAATCCCAGTATGTTTGGAATCAGGGCCCCAGCCTCGTCCTTGAGCTGTAACACAGGGACCTTGAAACTGCTCCCTCAGATTCATTAAGGCTGATGGACGAGGTAATAAACAAACCCGTTCAAAATGACCGCCACCTTACGCAAACAAACTGGGCCACCCATGTGGGTCGGGTTTCTGCTTCCTCCACATTTGGGGATTTGTTTGAGTATGAAAGTCTTACCTGATCTCAGCCCATGCTTAGCTGTTGAACTGCGGGAATGAGCTCCTCAGCTGCTGTCCCCCAAAGAACCACAGGGAGGCCAATGTGGGTCACTGTGTCACTTACATCTGCCCAAAGTCTGAGCATTTTAACATAATCAACTCCCATTATGCCCTGTAGCCAACCACAACTGTACATTTTAAGATTAACAAAGTTAGACCAGGCACAGTGGCTCATGCCTGTAATCCTAGCACTCTGGGAAACCCAGGCAGGCCGATCGTTTGAACTCAGGAGTTTGAGACCAACCTGAGCAAGATTGAAACTCCAGTCTTCTGGGGACGCTGTCTAGAGGCACGGAGAATGGTGCAGCATTTGACATACCATTGTAGGCTTTCCTACAATACAGCCTCTAAAAATCTAGGCTGTCTCGAACCCCTGGTAATAGAATTGTTTGCCTTTATACCAAGAAGGCTGGGAAAACACCAAAATCTGCAGATGGCGTGTGCCCAGGCAGACTTCAAGGGGTTCATGCAGTGAGACCTAAAGTTCTTACGAGGTTGCCTAATACAAAAAAAAATGTCAGCAGGGCCTACGTTGGTTCCCTGCGTACTAAATGTTTTCAGGACAGGATCAAACGTGCTTTCCTTATCTAGGAGCAGAAAAGTATTGAAGGCACAAGCAAAAGGTCGGAAGGCTAAATAGGAAAACAGAGCTTTTTTTGAGTAATAAAAATTAAATGGTAAAAGAAAAAAAAACGTAAAGAAACTCCATCTCTACTAAAAACAGAAAAACTAGCCAGGCATCTTGGCAGGCACCTGTAGTCCCTGCTACTTGGGAGGCTGAGACAAGAGGATGGCTTGAGCCCAATAGTTTGAGGTTGCTGTGAGCTATCACGATACCACTGCACTCTACCCATGGTGATAAAGTGAGACTTATCTTTAAAAAAAAAAAAAAAAGTTCAACAAAGTTAAATAACTGTGCACCTCCTGAAGAAAGGGACAGATAGAGCTCCACGGGGATGCATGATTCCAGTGTGGGGTGTTGGTGATGTGCAGGGCACTGGGTGAAGCTGTCACCCCATCACCTCTAGGGCTCTTTGGGCACCAAGAGCTGCTGTCCTACCTGTTCTGGCCTCTTTGGGAGCTCTGGGCCTTCCAGGAAGGCAGCGTAGCCAGAGAAGTGAACTGATTCCAGCTCTTCCTATCAGAGTGCTTTCATATAGTCCTGCCTGGTCCTCAGGGAGTTCCCTCCTGGTTCGGTAGAAAGCCTTGAGACAAATGTAGAATTTTTTTTTTTTTTTTT